TTTCGATTCTTTATATGTTTTTCGTATGAAGAATTGACAATAAACTATTTTAACGTTGAACTTAAACTTTGATGTACATTCAGAATCAAAGGCAGTTTACATCTGAAACAGCTAAATGAATAGAGGAATCCCACACATTTGAGAATGCATATTTTCACAATTAAATCATAATTTCAACATGAGCATGATTCATTTGCAGCTCTTATTAGTACAATTTTCATGTAACATGCCCCATACCTAATCGTTGGCAGGAGTCTGGGTCAGCACCTCCACTCAGTGTTGGCTTTACTTTGTCATCTGCATTTGACCCATTTTATGAATCACAAGCATCTTGTCAGCCAACAGTTCTATGGCCCCTGCAGTGTGTGTTCATCAGGAGGTTCAGATGACAAAGTAAAGCCCACTGAGCTGGAGGTGCTGACCCAGACTTGCCAAACGATTAGGTAGGGGCATGTTACATTGAAATTGTACTAATAAGAGCTGCAAATGAATCATCTCATGTTAATTATGATTTAAATTGTGAATATGCATTTCTCAAATGTGTGGGATTCCTCTATTCATTTAGCTGTTCAGATGTAAAGCCTTTGATTCTGAATGTACATCAAAGTTTAAGTTCAACGTTAAAAATAGTTTATTTCAATTTTCATACGAAAAATATAAAGAATCGAAATTGTTTTTCTCATCCTTGCGTATAAATAAATAATAATAAATGTATAGTGCGGAGGGAGTCCAGGTGTTCTTTGGGCTGCATGCTCTTGAAACTATTTTCCTCTAATAGTTTTTGTTTTATGTGTGTGTCTTACAGGTTTCACTCTACAGGAAGAACTTTGAATCAATCAGACGCAACAACCATCTGCTCTTCCTCTCCAAGACGAGAGACACATCAGACTGAGTGGTCCAAGTCCACCATGTCTCCACTTCCATGTCTCCATGTCCCAGAGTTATATGATCTGAACAAGTGTGTGAGAAGAAATGAAAACATTGCTTAGTGTTTCTGAATGTTTTTCACCTTATGACATTGATATGGAAATGTCCATTTTTTGTGTCTCTTTGATAGTAACTATTACATGTACTAAGAATGTACTATTGTACTCAGATAAGCTGTGGTATTCCACATATCTGGCAATAATTTTGTTCATTTTGATTGTCACTTGCTTCAGCAAAAAGAACACAATGAGATTTACTGACATAAGCTTTGTACTAACTTGTTAATGAGAGTGTGTGTATCGGTTTAATATTTGACTTCATATTATGATAAAGTATTTCCAGAAGTTCCTTGGATTGTTTATAAATCATTTCTCAGGAGAGATGTCTTTCTTTCTTTACAAACTGACTGTATAAATGTAATCCTGGTCATATAAAAATCCTTAATAATGATAATATTTAGTAATGCATATCTCTCACATTTTTTTTTATTTTAAGATAATTTAGTCTATTTAAATGTACCTTAAATATAGCCGTTTGTTTTGCAAAAGTTAAACATACTTTTCGGTTTTGGCCATAAGATTTGATGCGAATTATTAAATAATTTGGTCACAAAATCCGACAGTTTGATGACCTGTGCGTCTTTTTACTGATCCGTGTGTGAATCTGCGCGGGGTGTTGCATTGCATTGCTAGAGGTCTCGGTTGCTGACGGGAGCGCTCGAGTCTGACTGTCCCTTTCGCAACGCCTGGGTCGCGAGGCCAGTTCAAGGCTGCAGCCTTCGCGCCGACGAGACCAACCTCACAGCCTTCGGAGCTGCAGCCTCAATTGGGACAGCCAAGGAATGTGAGGGAAAACAGAGACACACCGGTGAGGAAATTAACCTGTAACATTAGAATTCAATTAAATTAGAGTTCAGTTAAAATAGGAAATGGTGTCAAATCTAAGTTAACGTAGCACTAATGAAAATATATATTAATATGTATATAGCACTTAAAAACAGTTCTTGAATTTTTTTTTATTTGCCTTAAATAATAAAATATTACATTTATTTCATATAGTCATTTAAAATTGTATTAAAAAAAAGTTATATTTAGGATTAAAATTTATTGCTAAAATGATACTTTTGTTAAAATTATAGCTATTTAATTTAATATGTAAAAGTTATATTTATTTATAATATTTATTTATAATATAAGAAATATTATCTAAATAGTAAATATTATAATTTATGCATATTTATTGAAATTTAAATAGATATATCACTAATGAAATTGTAAAATGTAAATTTAATTTCATTACGCATATTTGTTTATTTTAAAGGTTTTCAACCTACTACTACTATTACTACTACAACTACAACTACTACTACAGAAACTGAACAATTCAAATAAAAATCTTCAAGTTGAGTTGAGCCTTGTGTATTTTTCTGTGTTTTTCAAGTTGGACCTGCATTCTGTGATTAAAGACTTAACAAGTACAAGGTTGTAACTCCACACACTGAAGACTGTCCGACGCTGTTTTGAGAGCTGCATGGTTTGTGTGTAATTATCATATTACAATGCCAGTATTAAAAACAAACAAGTAGAGTTACGAGTACAAGTTGTTGAACACAGGTAGAAATACGTACCGGCGATGCAACCTCATATAAAAATATAAAAAGTTTAAAAATGCCGACTCAGAAAGCAACTGCTGCTGTAATGTCTGCTGTTCATAAGCATTACTACCATTCAATAAAGTTTGATTCGGTTCGTGCTCTGCGTGCAATTTCAGAGGTGTCCACTAGATGACACCATACACAAGCGAAACTTAAGAATTATAAAGACAGGTGAATTATACATTTAAACATTGTTAAAACAAGTTTTTATGCATAACAGAACGAGGTGGGTCACTGAATTTAACTCGGTAAAAATCGGTAAAAATCATGTATTTCTGTTTAATTGCTCATTATATGATCACAGCCTAATTGTACAACGTATTTATGTCCTCCAGAACATTTATGAGCTGATATTTTGTACATTGCTTGAGTTATTACACAATAATGGACTTTTGCACATGTTGTGACAGAAGAGAACTTTCAGAAGCTGACGTGACTTGCTGTCCTTGTAGAGCTGCTCCCCGTGTTGAGCCGAGGTTTCCTCACCAGAGCAGATTAAAACCACAAAAGACAGAACCGTGTCCTGGTCATTTATTCACAACACAGATAAACTTAACGACGAATGAAAGACAGACGGGTTATTCCTGCAACCAAGCTGGACTTTTACACAGCCGAGTTCAGCGCAGTTACACATAGAAGTGTGATACCCCCCCTTAATGCCCCATAAAAGTGTGATACCCCCTTTGCCTCCTCTTTAATGCCCCATAAAAGTGTGATACCCCCTCTGCCTTCTCTTTAATGCCCCATAAAAGTGTTATACCCCCTCTGCCTTCTCTTTAATGCCCCATAAAAGTATGATACCCCCCATTAATGCCCCATAAAAAGTGTGATACCCCCCCTCTTTAATGCCCCATAAAGTGTGATACCCCTCTACCTCCCCTTAATGCCCCATAAAAGTGTGTGATACCCCCTTAATGCCCATAAAAGTATAATACCCCCCATTAATGCCCCATAAAAGTGTGATAGCCCCTCTACCTCCTCTTTAATGCCCCATAAAAGTGTGATACCCCCCTCCCCTGCCCCCTTTATGCCCCATAAAAGCCCCTTTAATGCCCCATAAAAGTGTGATACCCCCTCTGCCTCCTCTTTAATGCCCCATAAAAGTGTGATACCCCCCCATTAATGCCCCATAAAAGTGTGATACCCCCCTTAATGCCCCATAAAAGTATAATACCCCCCATTAATGCCCCATAAAAGTGTGATAGCCCCTCTACCTCCTCTTTAATGCCCCATAAAAGTGTTATATGCCCCCCCCCCTTAATGCCCCATAAAAGTATAATACCCCCCATTAATGCCCCATAAAAGTGTGATAGCCCCCCCCCTGATACCCCTGCCCCTCTTTAATGCCCCATAAAAGTGTGATACCCCCTACCCCTCTTTAATGCCCCATAGAAATATAATAGCCCTGTCTCTCATTTCAATTTTTTATTTTATTTTGACTTGTTCATTTACATTTATATAATTCTGTCTAATTTCACACGTGTCTCTTGCCCTTTTTTTTTTTTTTTTTTTTTACAATTTATTTAGAATTTATTATTACCATCTATATTTTTCCTCTTTGTTATAATATTATATTGTTTTGTGTGAGCGTCTGTGTCCAAACCATTTCTTTTGTGGATTAATAAAGTTTAAGTCTAAAAACGGTGGTTTATGAAATAGTCTTGTAATTCCCGGTCCGGCCAGTAGATGGAGTCCTAACCTCAGTTTTCAGTCCTGCAGCGCACGTGAACCACCTGTAAAACCCGAGACGCCAAAGCAGAGGGGCTCCGTTCACTTTCCAGTCTCCAGGTTGAATTGAGGACATCATCTGAGACTTCCGCTGGTTTTGTTTAAACAGAATTTATTGTGAAAATGAAAATAAGAACAGAATATGACATGAGCGTGTGTGTAACAGAGTCCAAATATAAATGGTAAAAATAAATTCAAAGTAAGTAGCATAAAAAAAAGTAATGAAATATAAAGTCTCAGAAATACACTTCAAATTATCTGTCACATAAGGATGAGTTGTTGTACAGTTGTAGGGAGTATTATCTGTTCCATAAGGGTGAGTTGTACAGTTGTAGGGAGTATTATCTATTACATAAGGGTGAGTTGTTGTACAGTTGTAGGGAGTATTATCTGTTGCATAAGGGTGAGTTGTACAGTTGTAGGGAGTATTATCTGTTGCGTGAGACAGGTTTGGGTTTGGGAGTCTGTGACGTCCATGAAGCGCGCGCACCATTGATCCGGCTCTGATCCGAATCCCCGAGTCATCTGAGTCCAAACGGCTCTCACTGTCACTGCAGCGCGGGAAACACGCGCACGCACGAGCGGAGTGTGCGCGTGCGCGAGCCCAGGTCACGCACGCGCATCTGTCCTCTGCTGTGCGCGTGCGTGTGTGATGGATGTGGGCGGGAGGGGAGGGCGCGTGAGGCGGCGTGCGGAAGGCGTGTCCCCTCCCCGCGTCTGTCCCCGCTCCGCCGCCGTCCCCGCTCCGCACACGCTGGGGGGAAGAGGTGCGCATCCGCCCGCGGTACCATGCTTCCCCTCCGCCGTCCCCCCGCGCACCTCTGAGCTCCAGCGCCGCGCACATCCCCCCCGCCGCGACACGCAGCGCGCCATGGCCGAGCGCGGAGAGAGGAAGACGGCCGTGGCTCCGCCGGCGGCTTCGTGGAAGGACGGAGCCAGACCGGCGAGTCCGGCGGCGGCGGCAGAGCGATCCGCGGTGTCCAACGGGAACTGCGGCGTACCGGAGGCGGTCAGGCGGGTCCAGAGCGAGTGCTCGGCCGAGGCTTGGGACGCTGTCGGCGCAGACTCGGGCTCCAAGACCATCCCGCGGCGCAGCAGTCTGATCAAGGTAGGCCACGGCTCGGGGATCGGGAGCCTCCGGGCGGGTGAACTTGGGGCGAACAAACTGTTGCCTCCGCCGCCGCGTCCTGCCGCGTCCTGCCGCGTACCGCCGCGTCCTGCCGCGTCCTGCCGCTCCGGGCTCCGTCACGCGCGCGCACACCGGCCTTCCTTCCGCCGTCACCTTCAGCGATCACAACAGCCCCGCGGAGCTGCACGTGGCCTCACATATTTACACAGCCCCAGACGTGCACGCACCGGGACGTGACGGTCATGAACGAGTCGGCTCTAGAGCGGCTCCAGAACGGCTCTAGAACGGCTCTTCACTGTTCTGTATTTCGCCAAACGGACTCTTTATCCGCGTGTTGATCCTGCGCCTGTGTTTTTGTGTTTTTGTGTTTTTGTGTTTGTTTCATTCACATGTTTGAGGAAACCTTTATCAGTCCCAAAATCACGAGTCTCAAATCTTTTCCCTCCTTGTTGCTCGTTTTGCAAGAAATGGAGTAAAAACACAATAAGAGTCTTTAGATGAGGAACAGTTTGATGCCTTTAAAACATTTACAGAGTTTGATCCATGTCACATTTACATCAGATTTGATTTATTCAACACAATATTTATGATTCAGAATCTCACGACGAGTAATGGGAAAAAAAAACAAAAAAAAAAAACAATATCTTGCTAAATTAATATCTCCTGGTTTAGTCCTGGTTTAGACCTGGTTTAGACCTGGTTTAGACCTGGTTTTTAGTCCTGATTTAGTCCTGGTTTAGTCCTGGTTTAGTCCTGGTTTAGTCCTGGTTTTAGTCCTAGTTTAGACCTGGTTTAGACCTGGTTTAGTCCTGGTTTAGTCCTGGTTTAGATCTTGTTTAGACCTGGTTTAGACCTGGTTTAGTCCTGGTTTAGAGTCTTTTCCTGGTTTAGTCCTGGTTTAGACCTGGTTTAGTCCTGGTTTAGTCCTGGTTTAGTCCTGGTTTAGTCCTGGTTTAGACCTGGTTTAGACCTGGTTTAGTCCTGGTTTAGACCTGGTTTAGTCCTGGTTTAGACCTGGTTTAGATCTTGTTTAGTCCTGGTTTAGTCCTGGTTTAGACCTGGTTTAGTCCTGGTTTAGTCCTGTTTAGACCTTTTATTAAACATTTATTTGAATAAGAAAAGGTTGAACATTACAGATGATGTTGACATTTTTCAATAAATATTTAGTTTGTCCCACGACTTAGTCCCAGTTTTTAATTTTGGCCCAACGTGAATTTGAGTTTGACTTTCCTGATTTAAAGTCACAAACCGAACTGTTTCATTCACACGTTTAAGGAACGAGAGAGAGAGTGTGTGTGTGTGTGTGTGTGTGTGTGTGTGTGTGTGTGTGTGTGTGTGTGTCGTGTGTGTGTGTGTGTCTGTGTGTGTGTGTGTCGTGTGTGTGTGTGTGTGTGTGTGTGTGTGTGTGTGTGTCGTGTGTGTGTGTGTGTGTCTGTGTGTGTGTGTGTGTGTGTGTGTGTGTGTGTCGTGTCTGTGTGTGTGTGTGTGTGTGTGTCTGTGTGTGTGTGTCGTGTGTGTGTGTGTGTGTGTGTGTGTCAGTGTGTGTGTGTGTGTGTGTGTGTGTGTCTCAGGTGATCAGTTTGTGTAGTTGTGTTTTCAGAGACAGAGGGGGCGCTGGAGAGCAACACACACTCTTCTCTCTCTCTCTGTCCTCCATCTTTCTCACTCTCTTTGCACCTGTCTGTCCCCCCCTCTCTCTGTCTGTCCTCTGTCTCTGTCTCTGTCTGTCCCTGTCTGTCCCTGTCTGTCCCTGTCTGTCCTGTCTGTCTCCTCTGTCTGTCCCTGTCTGTCTGTCTGTCTGTCTGTCTGTCTCTGTCCTGTCTGTCCTGTCTGTCTGTCTCTGTCCTCTGTCTGTCCCTGTCTGTCTGTCTGTCTGTCCTGTCTGTCTGTCCTGTCTGTCTGTCTGTCTGTCTGTCTGTCTGTCTCTGTCTGTCTGTCTGTCTGTCCCTGTCTCTGTCTCTGTCTGTCCCTGTCTGTCTGTCTGTCTGTCCCTGTCTGTCTGTCTGTCTGTCTGTCTGTCTGTCCCCTGTCTCCTCTGTCCCTGTCTGTCTGTCTGTCTGTCTCTGTCCCTGTCTCTCTCTGTCTGTCTCTCTGTCCCTGTCCTGTCCTGTCTGTCTCTGTCTGTCCCTGTCTGTCCCTGTCTCTGTCCCTGTCTGTCCCTGTCTCTGTCTGTCCCTGTCTGTCCCTGTCTCTGTCCCTGTCTGTCTGTCTGTCTCTGTCTGTCCCTGTCTGTCCCTGTCTCTGTCCCTGTCTGTCTGTCTCTGTCTGTCCCTGTCTGTCCCTGTCTCTCTCTCTCTGTCCCTGTCTGTCCCTGTCTGTCCCTGTCTCTGTCCCTGTCTGTCCCTCTCTCTCTCTCTCTGTCCCTGTCTCTCTCTCTCTGTCCCTGTCTCTGTCCCTGTCTGTCCTGTCTGTCTCTGTCTGTCCCTGTCTGTCCCTGTCTGTCGTCAGGGGGACGTGGTCTCGCTCTCGTCCTTTGTGTCCTTTGTTCTAAATCATGAGACGTGTCCAAATTTTGGCTCCAAACCAACTGAGACTGAACCCCAGTGTTTACTCCACAAACCTGATCATCATCTGATCTCCAGAGTCCAGGTTCAGTCCCGGTTCAATCCTGGTTTAATCCTGGTTCAGTCCTGGTTTAGTCCCGGTTCAGTCCCGGTTCAATCCTGGTTTAGTCCTGGTTTAGTCCTGGTTTAATCCCGGTTCAGTCCCGGTTCAGTCCCGGTTCAGTCCTGGTTCAGTCCTGGTTTAATCCTGGTTTAGTCCTGGTTCAGTCCTGGTTCAGTCCCGGTTCAGTCCTGGTTTAATCCTGGTTTAATCCTGGTTTAGTCCTGGTTCAGTCCTGGTTTGGTCCATGCGGCTCTTTGTTGTCTTGACGTTTTCGACGTCTCATCTCTGTTGAACACCACAGTTTTCAAAACGCCGAAGTCGTCGCACTTGTTTTTGTTTTTTTTGTTTTTTATAAAAGGTGCATCGTGTTTTTTCACAATGCGGCATTAAACCTTTCTATCTCCATGGAGACCAAACCAGACCGAGTTCCGGGTCAGATCTGTGGAGAGGCGACCCCGCTCACCGTCACAATGTCTGTTTTTTGAGGGATTTTTGAACCACCTGTAGTCGGATAAATGTAAAGTAGAAAATGTGTTTAATGCCACACTGCGGAACATTTGAAGCAGAGCGGTGACGGACGCCCAACCGAAAAGTTACACAGTGCAGCAGTGAGTCGTTCAGATCAATATTGTGATTAAAAATGTCCAAATTATAACATAAAGACGCACACAAACACTAAAGTCCGTTTTGAAACATCGTCTGAAAGTTGATGCTTTGTTTGCACAGATGTTCACTGTGACTGAGATAATAATAATCATTTTAAATAAGATTTTCGTTTTTGTCAACATGGGCCCCGTAACAATATGACAGTGGCCCCCAGGAGCCCCTCCCTCCCTCCACAGACTTGACACAGCACAGAGGAATGTTTCAGGCAAACAGGAAACGGGCATTCCTGTGTCTGCAGTCTCAGGTCTGACCACAGCTTCAGTCACACTCAGACGACGAAAGAAGAGACGGAGCTCCGGTTTATCTGCCACAAATCCAGACGCGACGAATCCAAACGCGACGAATCCAGACGCGACGAATCCAGACGCGACGAATCCAGACGCGACAAATCCAGACGCGACAAATCCAGACGCGACAAATCCAGACGCGACGAATCCAGACGCGACAAATCCAGACGCCACAAATCCAAACGCCACAAATCCAAACGCCACAAATCCAGACGCCACAAATCCAAAAAAAGAGACAAATCCACACGCGACAAATCCAAAAGAGACAAATCCAGATGCGACAAATCCAAAAGAGACAAATCCAGACGCGACAAATCCAGACGCCACAAATCCAGACGCCACAAATCCAGACGCCACAAATCCAGACGCCACAAATCCAGACGCCACAAATCCAAAAAGAGACAAATCCAAAAGAGACAAATCCAAACGCGACAAATCCAAACGCGACAAATCCAGACGCCACAAATCCAGACGCCACAAATCCAAAAGAGACAAATCCAGACGCGACAAATCCAGACGCCACAAATCCAGACGCCACAAATCCAAAAGAGACAAATCCAAAAGAGACAAATCCAAACGCGACAAATCCAGACGCCACAAATCCAGACGCCACAAATCCAGACGCCACAAATCCAGACGCCACAAATCCAGACGCCACAAATCCAAACGCCACAAATCCAGACGCGACAAATCCAGACGCCACAAATCCAGACGCCACAAATCCAGACGCCACAAATCCAGACGCCACAAATCCAGACGCCACAAATCCAGACGCGACAAATCCAAAAGAGACAAATCCAGACGCGACAAATCCAAAAGAGACAAATCCAGACGCGACAAATCCAGACGCGACAAATCCAGACGCGACAAATCCAGACGCGACAAATCCAGAGACAAATCCAGACGCGACAAATCCAGACGCGACAAATCCAGACGCCACAAATCCAGACGCGACAAATCCAGACGCGACAAATCCAGACGCGACAAATCCAGACGCGACAAATCCAGACGCGACAAATCCAGACGCGACAAATCCAGACGCGACAAATCCAAAAGAGACAAATCCAAACAAGACAAATCCAAACGCCACAAATCCAAAAGAGACAAATCCAGATGCGACAAATCCAGACGTCCTGCTGCTGTTACTACTACTACTACTACTACTACTACTAATACTAATACTATGTATACTATTACTACTACTACTACTACTGCTACTACTATGTATACTATACTACTGCTACTGCTACTACTACTACTACTGCTACTACTACTACTGTACTACTACTACTACTACTGCTGCTACTCTGCTACTACTATACTACTACTATACTACTACTACTACTACTACTACTACTACTACTATGTATACTACTACTACTACTACTACTACTACTACTGCTACTACTATGTATACTA